GGGGGGTGATACCACTGCTTAATTGAGGAACCTACCGGAACATTCAGGCGCATTATACTGACATGTGAGCGCTGCGTACTGGGAGCTCATGGTGGACTGCCGGGCCTTAGAGTTGTGGACCATGAGGCGCACAAGCCCAAAATCTGCAATCTTTGCATGCAGTTCCTCGTTAAGCAGGATGTTTTGGGTGTTGACAGCCCCATGTCCGAACCCCCCTCGCGGAAGACTGTGCAGATACTGTAACCCGTTTGCCACATCCAGCGCAATCGCCAGCCTTTGACTCCACGTCAGCGGTGCTGTGAGGTCTATCTGGGCTCCCCAGTCCCTTACCACTGTGTTGGACAGGTACGATCCGAACAGGTGGTAGCTTAGCGAACCCTTTGGCATGTACTCATACAACAGTACCCTGTCCGTGTTGTCGCCGCTGCACGAGTAGCCGATCAACGGCACGAGATGCTTGTGATTCAACCGTTGGATCATTCTCAATTTCGCTTTGAAGTCGTCGAGATGGCAGTGGCGAGACCCCAATCCACCGCCATTGGGCGCAAAGTGCTTGAGGCGTTTGATCACCACCACAGTCCCATCTTCCAGCATTCCCCGGTGGACCCAGGACGACGGGCCCTCGCCCAAAATCGTCTCTTTGTGGAAATTGCGGGTCGCCACCAAGATCTCCTGCCAGGGGTACACAGTTAGCAGCCCTTTGTCGCCCACGTACTTCAACAACCCGCTATTGTTCTCGTTCGATGTCAGCACCCCGCTTACCCCATCCGCCTTCAGCGTCGCCATCTCCAGCCTCTGCCAGAACCGTCTGCGGCGATTCATCAATGCTCTCTTCTTCAGCGCCCAGCCGAAGGCCACAATGATCGTGATCAGGAACGACGAACTGCCGACCACGATCCCCGCGAGCTCTCCAATGTCTCTGCCGGACTTGACCGAATCGCTCATAATCACCGTCTTCGTCGACGATACGGACTCGGGCTGCTCAATGGGGATACAGTAACTGGAGTTCGTCTCGTTCTGGTTGCTGCAGAGTGGATTGCCATGCAGGTAAACGCTGACTCCCTGTGGAAAGGACGGCGCAGGTTCAGTCAAGTTGTTGAAGCGAAGATCGACAACAAGAAGCGCCTTCAGAGCGACCAGATCGTCCGGAATTCCTCCGGTCAACCCGTTGAAGCTGAGGTCTAGAGTCTCCAAAGCGCTCAGCCCACGTAGAGACGGCGTCAAGTACCCCTGGAGGGAGAGATTGGACAGCTGGAGCGAAGTGACGCCTCTTTTGTTCGCTCCGGAGGCGTCCAGTGCACCACAGGTCACACCTTTCCAAGCCTGACAGGGATCGTTCCCAGCCCACGATTGCACCAGCACCAACGGGTAGCCGACGGCCTCGAGGAGGTCGGTCAATGCTTCCACCTCCACATCACACGCCGATGTCTCACTGTTGTTGCTGGCGGCCGGCAGCGCGCTCGGCACGGTCTCGCACAGGCTGTTGTTTTCCGCGAAGAAAGCTAGGGTCGCACGTGCGTACGAGGGTGGCAGCGACCCCACCAAGAAATTGTTGGTTACGTTGAAGCGCTGCAGACTCGGCAGCTCGCCGATACGCCGCGGCAAACGACCCGTCAATCGGTTGTTCGACAGGTCAATATCCCGGAGCAAGTCCATGGATTGCCCGGGACCAAGGTCCGGGATTTCGCCGGACAGTTGGTTTCCGCGTAACGAGAGCTCCTCGAGGGAGGAAAGTGACCACAGCGAAGCAGGGATGGACCCGACAAACTTGTTGTCGCCCAAATCCAACACCCGCAAGCTCTGCAGCCCAGCGCCGACAACACCGGCAACGACAGCGCCGTTGTTCCACCCAAACCCGACCTTGCCGACAAACCCGTTTGACGGTAATCTAAGCACCTTCAGCACGCTCAGACCCCCAAAGATGTCGGGAATGGGACCGCCGATTAGAGTCCCTGACAGAACCAGACTTTCAAGGCTTTGCCCCCAGTTCCCAAAAAGGCTGGGCAGGATGGGCCCGTGCAGGAACTGCATTTGCTGCAGCGTCAGATTCCGCAGGCCTCTGATAAGTCCGAGCTGAGGCGGCAACGAACCCGTAACATTTATGTTGTGCAGCTCGAGTACCTCCAGGTCTTGTAAAACTCCGATGGACAGGGACAAAGGTCCCGTCGGGGGATGCGCTTTCGCGCCAGCAAAACTCCGGTACACCAGATGAAGCTCTTTCAGGACCTGATCCAACACAGACGATCATCAAATCCTAGGCAAAACCGTGCTTTTTTTTTTTTTTTTTTTTTTTTTTTTTTATCTTCGCCCACCTCTCCTAACGGTTCCCGCTGATTTTAACAATACTCATTTGTTCATTCTTCTCCCCCAACTAACTTTTTTCGCTTTTTTTTTTTTTTTTTTTTTTCCAAACTGCTATTCTCAACGGGAGTTGAGACAAGACTGTTTGGGGTTGAAGAAAAGCAAACAAAAAAAACAAAAAAAAAACAAGGACTGAGATAAACAGACCACTGACGAAGAAAGGAAAAAACAAAGCAGACCAATGATAAGTGTGTCAAATAAATGAGATGTTCTATATGCAGTCAGTAGGTGCCTGGTGGCTCAGTGCTGCGGTACAGACACAAGACTTAAGTCAACACACACTGCAACACTGATTCAACACTGAGTCAATAGACACTCTGTAACTCTTGAGTCAACACCGAGTCAACACTGAATCAACACTAAGTCAACACTTAGTCAACACTAAGTCAACACTAAGTCAACACTGGGCCAACATTGGGTCAACGAACACCAAGTTGGCCGACATTGCATAACAGTGCAACACTGACTCAACATTGAGCCAATAGACACTCTGTAACTCTGAATCAACGGTAAGTTCACACTGAATCAACGCTGAGTCAACACTCAGTCAACACTAAATCAATCCTGAGTTGATGCTGAGTCAACATTGAGTCAACACTGAGTCAACACTGAGTCAACACTGAATCAATGCTGAGCCAACGCTGACTCAACGCTGACTCAACGCTGACTCAACGCTGACTCAATGCTGACTCGACGCTGAGTCAACACTGAGTCAAAACTGAATCAATGCTGAGTCAACAGGTAGGCGATATTCAGAACCTGAGGATGCGTTTTGGATCGGCCGCCGACCACGCACTGAACCAACAGAAACTCAGTCAACGGATACGGAGTCTGCACACACAGAGTCAACAGACTGTTGTGAGAGTTAACACTGAGTCCATACTGAGTCAACACGAAGTCAACGGACAAATGGGTAAACACTGAGTCAATACTCAGTCAACGGACGCTGAGTCAACACGAAGTCAACTGAGTCAATACTCAGTCAACGGACGCTGAGTCAACACGAAGTCAACTGAGTCAACGGACGCTGAGTCAACACGAAGTCAACGGACAAATGGGTAAACACTGAGTCAATACTGAGTCAACGGACGGTGACACAAGACGAAGTCAAGGGACAAACGGGGCCCTCAACTGTTTTACTGTGGCTTTTTTTTTTTCCCCCTTTTTTCGCTGGTTATTGTTTTACTGAGGTGCAAGGATTTAACCAACAAGTGTAGGGCAGTTGGTACACCCATGAACCGTTGGAAATTGAAATACAGACCCAAGTTCGAATCCGGATGCAATCAGAAAAAAAAACAGTGAGAACAGAAAGCAAACTGTTGAAAAACTGAAGGCCAGAGCAGAGAACAGAAAGCAAACACAGACAAAAACAAAAGAAAAAAA